ACGGTGTCATGGTAACACTATGCTGATTATAACACAGTGTTGGTGTTACGGTGTCATGGTAACACTATACTGATTATAACACAGTGTTGGTGTTACGGTGTCATGCTAACACTATACTGATTATAACACAGTGCTGGTGTTACGGTGTCATGCTAACACTATACTGATTATAACACAGTGCTGGTGTTATGGTGTCATGCTAACACTATACTGATTATAACACAGTGTTGATGTTATGGTGTCATGGTAACACTATACTGATTATAACACAGTGCTGGTGTTATGGTGTCATGCTAACACTATTCTGATTATAACACAGTGTTGGTGTTACGGTGTCATGGTAACACTATACTGATTATAACACAGTGTTGGTGTTACGGTGTCATGCTAACACTATTCTGATTATAACACAGTGTTGGTGTTACGGTGTCATGGTAACACTATACTGATTATAAAACAGTGTTGATGTTATGGTGTCATGGTAACACTATACTGATTATAACACAGTGCTGGTGTTATGGTGTCATGCTAACACTATACTGATTATAACACAGTGTTGGTGTTACGGTGTCATGCTAACACTATTCTGATTATAACACAGTGCTGGTGTTATGGTGTCATGGTAACACTATACTGATTATAACACAGTGTTGGTGTTACGGTGTCATGCTAACACTATACTGATTATAACACAGTGTTGGTGTTATGGTGTCACCGGTTCCTTTTAGTAACTTTGTGATGTGATGAAGTTATTATTATTATTATTATTATTATTATTATTATTATTATTATTATTATTATTATTATTATTATTATTATTATTATTATTGTTGTTGTTGTTGTTGTTGTTGTTGTTGTTATTATTGTTGTTATTATTATTATTATTATTATTATTATTATTACATCTCACAGTCTCCAAAGCTCTTCATATCTCGGCTTTAAAAACTCTGCATCAGCTCCCGGTCGTCAACACAGCCGGTGCAGTAGACAGGTTTAGTGGCCGGTGGCTCGCTATACAAGGACCTCAAGGCTGTCTTTACTGTATATACGTACACCTCTTGGACCACCTGTAGGATTAGCCAGTCTTTGCCTTCAGAGTCCACCCTCCCCCTTCTCGTGCGCGCTCCAGGATTATTAAGGATTACTCAAAGTAGGATTGATGAGGATTAATGACTAAGGGATTACCGTGGATATGTGGGGCTGGTCTAGGAAACGGGATTGTCGCAGAGGTAAACACCGAGGGAGGGTTACCGGTGATCGTGTCCAGGAATGTTGTGGTGTGTAGGGTTCTCCTCATGGAAGAATCGTCATTTTTGGCTGTCAAAAGCAACATTTCGGATGATAACTTTATTTTAGGTGTCGTGATTAGCTGTTGGTCCCTGCTGTGTGTACTTGCATATCTTATAATAACTAATGACTATCTAAAACAGCGGTGATTGTAACGTGACTCAGGGTACCTTGTTACACCACCTGCGGGATGAGAGTGAGGGAGGGAACTCGTGATGACGCTGTGATGAGAGGGACAGCTGGAGAAGAGGAAGGTAAGCTACACAACAGGGTGGTCTGGTAGGTTACACAGACACGGTCACACAACAGCCACGCCAGGGCACACCGATTAAAGTGAGACTGTCGGGCCTGCTGTGTCCACCACCAGCACCACACACACTACACTGTGTCCACCACCACCACCCACGCTACACTGTGTCCACCACCCACGCTACACTGTGTCCACCACCACCCACACTACACTGTGTCCACCACCACCACCACCCACACTACACTGTGTCTACACCTGACCACCACCCACACACTGTGTCCACCACCACCACCCACACTACACTGTGTCCACCACCACCACCCACACTACACTGTGTCCACCACCACCACCCACACTACACTGTGTCCACCACCACCCACACTACACTGTGTCCACCACCACCACCCACACTACACTGTGTCCACCACCACCACCCACACTACACTGTGTCCACCACCACCACCCACACTACACTGTGTCCACCACCACCACCCACACTACACTGTGTCCACCACCACCACCACCACCCACACTACACTGTGTCTACGACCACCCACAGTGGTGACAAGTAGTGGGAAAGGTGATGGTGGGGTGGATTCTGTGCTGGTGGTGGGTGGTAGGGGTGAGAAGAGGGTGGTGGGTTTGTGGGAAGTGTGGTGGTGGGTGATGGGTAAGTGGAGAGGGTGATGGGGTGGGTTGTAGGGGTGAGTAGAGGGTGGTGGGTCAGTGGGAAGTGTGGTGATGGTGGTGGTGGTCGTGGTGGGTGGGGACAGATGTAAATTCCTAAACAACTTGTTTACACCAAGTTATTTTATCACCAATAGCTAAAAGAGACAAACATGTTCCGTATATAATAATTCATTTATATATTTAGTGATATTATTTAATCATTTACCTGAAAATACGGTTATATCGATATAATAGATATTGACTTTTGGACCACCCTGTAGTAAGGGTGGTCCAAAAAGAATGATCAGATTTTAATTGGTTACACAGTAGAATCTGGGCAATGTTTTTCCATGACTCTAAATATCCAAACATGTAGAGTCTCATTTTTCTTTATTATTTCGGTTAATAGCTATTGCATGCCAAACGTCAGCAGTGTCTGGAGCTGACTCAGTACAGTTCAACACAGCACAACAACACAGCAAAGCACAGCATAGCATATACACCTGGACGACGTTCCTGACACACCGTCACTGTACCTCACACCACACCTTCACCTGTCAGCCATCATAGGGTCATTATTAAAGCTCATAGCCAGTAATGAACTAATATGGTAATGGTGGAGGCGACGGGGCGTACCACCAGTGCTGCCACAGATAACGAGATGGTAGGCACCCACTCCAGCATCGGAGGCGTTCTCAATCTCAAGATGCTTTACGCAAATCACAGCATCCATTGTATCGGTGTCTGCTTCAGGGTGTAAGCGCGCGGCGAAGTGCCCGCCTAGGTAGCGGAGGCTGACATAAGGACGGTAAACGTTTATGGCGGTGCGGCGGAACTGGAATAGTGATGGTGGTGTAGACAGTGAGAGACGCCCCGTCCAACAGTTGTGACGACAGCTCCCTACATTGATTTTGACGTGTTATCGCTGGGGAACACACACTGCTGACAGCTACTGAGATACATGCCACTCTCCCCTAATTTTACAGACACGCGGAAAAATCTGTCCCCTGGACTGATCTTATGGTAGTGAGGACGTGAGGCACCCGAGGGCCCGAGGCTGTACAATTAGGTTATCTGAGAGTTTTTTAGAGGTTGGTTTGTGATAACTGACAGCGGTGTATGATGGTGGCAACGTGGAGGCGGTCCCGCAAAGCTTGTACCGTTATCTGCCTCTTATCTGTTATCGAGGGACTGTGAGGAGAGGCACTACCGCTCACCTGTTGACACTGATAAGCTCGCTCTCAGGTTCAATAGCTCACCCTCAAGTGGGACTTGCTTCTCTTCGAGTAGCAGACCCACACTGCCCTGGGCTACTTTCCTTTTGGTGTTACTTTCTTATGGCGACATTGGAAGAGAAAGTAGATCCCACAGAGTATAACTACCCAGCGTGGCCGTGCTCTCACTTCCTTAGCTATAAAGTTAGGTTTCTATTCTGCGGTTGGGTCACCCCGCTCTTTGGCCGGACAAGACACTCGTACAAGCCATTAGCTGTGTTAGGAAGCCGGTGTTGTATAGACTCAACTGCCACAAACCTACAGTGTCACTAATTCCAGAGACCAAATGAAAAAATACAGTACACGTCTACCGAAGTTGGGGACGACCATTCAACCACCACAAAATTCCCAACCAAGAATAATGGATTCGATCGGTATGCATTAGAGCCATTTTGTAGAAATATTGCACAACCGACCATAACGAGACGCCATCATCTCTTGGGTCGCCACCATTATGGAGAATTCTTCCCGCCTCGTGTTGAACTGAGGCTGCTCCGTTGAGTCTCTCTATATATAGGGACTAACTAACATAACTTAACCTTATGCAAAATTCTGCCATTATTATCAAATATCATACACCATACACAACATACATCACACATACTGCAGTGTACAGTATGAGGAAGAGTGTGGTAGTGTACAGTGTGTGGTAGTGAACAGTGTAGCACAAGACCAGCAGCATGGTGGTAGTGGTGTGTGCTGTGTGATTCTGGCCCAAGAGAGAGGCGACATCAGGGCAGGACACCCCCACCCACCCCCGTACACACCTTTAAGAGGATCGATGGAGATAAAGTGGAGTGAGATCCCGTCCGTTCATCCTTCTTGAAGCTCCTATACATATATCTGTAGTTGGTTACTTTGATCTGGAGCACCACACTGTCATTTGAGGGACTTGTACTGTAGCTGAGGTACTGAAGGAGGGAAGTAGTGAGGTGTTTCTGGTGATGGTAGGGGGGGGGGGTGTTGCTTGAGCCACGCTTGTATTTGGGCATGAAAGAACGCTGAACTACTGCAGTATGACCATATCCACGTTGACAAAAAATACGGTCTATAATGTTTAAAATGGGGAATATCATCTGTAATCATCCGGTAGAAGGGATCGTGACCACTGAGAACATAAGGAGGGTTGAGGGAAGGTAGTCAGTGGGGCTCTGGTTAAGATGGACGACATGACAAGCCACGAGAGGGTGACACATCTGCCCTCCTGGAGACTAAGTTCTAGACGTTATTTAGTGTTACTGTTTGGTGACATTTAATGGTGACCTATATACACTATACAGAGTATATATACTAGGTAATATTCTCTTTCTCTTTCTCTCTCTCTCACACCAAACTAACCATCATCACGACTGAAATAAAACATTGTCATCCCGACACTTCCTCTCTCACCGTCTCCATGCTGTCACCTACTGTATACCTAACCTAACCTACATTATCTATATACGTGACAAACCAATTATAAAACACATGACGATTGTATTGACTCTCTATCTATTGATCTATATATCTACTTGCCACAGAGGTGATGAAACCAGTGGGCGTGGAGGTGTGTGAGGGCTGCGGGCGTACCATCCACGACAGGTTCATCATGCGGGTGATCGACACCTCCTGGCACGAAGACTGTCTTGTGTGTTGTGTGTGTCGTGTACAGCTGCAACACTCGTGCTTCGCCAGAGACAACAAGATCTACTGTAAACTTGACTATGACAGGTGAGGCAAGGAGAGAAGGGGGGAGAGAGAGGGAAGAAGTGGAGGGAGTGAGGGATGGTAGAAGGGAGAGGGGGGAGGGTAACGGAGAGTGAGAGGGAGGGTAACGGGGAGTGGGAGGGAGGAGAGGAAGGGAAGAAGAAGGGGAGGGAGGAAGAGAGAGAGAGAAGGAAGGAGAGAGGGTAGCTTCCCTTGTAGTATAATTACAATAAAATGCTTCTTTCATGTATGATATAACCTAAAAAGACGAATTCCATTTTTTTTCAACACACGTTGTTAATTTTCCTTTTAGGTTAAATGGGTTATACCGTATATGATTTAGCTATTCTACAAAATAGCCTACTTTTATATTATATAAGTAGGTTATTTCATGTACAAGAAGACTATTTTATATACAAGTAGACTCGTTTTATTCAATAGTGGCAAAACCCTTTACATTTGTAATAGGTTACCAGGGCAACATTCGACCAATTTTGGCGCGATTTTCGAAAGCAAATTATCATGTGGATTCTATCACATATTAACGACACCTGCGGAGTATTGGTGCAAATCTATCAACCCGTTCTGGAGTTATTTTGGAGCAACATGCATAGACGGACAGACAAGACGGAAAGCAATACCTTGTCCCGTTGCTGAGGGCTGGCTGAGAGAGAGAGAGAAAGAGAGAGAGAGAGAGAGAGAGAGAGAGAGAGAGGCAGTTGAGGGGGGAGATGGTGGAAACTCGGAAACTTTGACCAAATAAAAAGGTCATAGTTTGAGATACTAACAGCCGCGGGAAGTAGTAAGTAGTCGAGGTCGCTGACAACGGCGATAAAGTAGCATTTTAGGACTGTATTGTGTGGAAAGTAATAATTAGAGCGGGGAAGTAGCAGTTAGAATGGGAAAGTAACAGTTAGAGCGGGAAAGTAACAGTTAGAGCGGGAAAGTAGCAGTGGCAGTCTAGTTGTATTATTAACAACAGTAATAAGGTAACAGAAAGGAACGCTGCCAAAACAGAGAAAGTAACAGCTTGAAGCTATTACGAACAACGGTTAAAAAAGTAACAGAACGAAACGCCGATAGAGACATGAAAGTAGCAGAGGCAAGAAAGTAGTAGTACTCAGATGCAGCGTTCCTTTGCTCAGTGGGTGGGGAGAGGGCGTAACAGTAAGAAGCGGCAAGAAACAGGAACTTAACGGTAATGTCAACAGGGGGATGTATTGATTCTGTTAAGGTCGTGTGATAACTGAGATATTGAACTGATAAAAGCACAGGGGTGATATGTGAGGGGGAGGGGTGATGTGTGTGAGGAGGGTGATATGTGAGGAGGAGTGATGTGTGAGGGAGGGTGATATGTGAAGGGAGGGGTGTGTATGTGAGGGGTGACATGTGAGGGAAGGGGGTGGGGTGATATGTGAGGGAGGGTGATATGTGAGGGAGGGTGTGTGTGAGGGAGGGGTGATGTGTGAGGGAGGGGTGATATGTGAGGGGGAGGGGTGATATGTGAGGGGAGGGTGATATGTGAGGGGGAGGGTGATGTGTGGGGAGGGTGATATGTGAGGGAGGGGTGATATGTGAGGAGGGGTGATATGTGAGGGAAGGGGGTGGGGCGACCATGTGAGGGAGGGTGATATGTGAGGGAGGGGTGATGTGTGAGGGAGGGTGATGTGTGAGGGGAGGGTGATATGTGAGGGAGGGTGAGTATGTGAGGGAGGGTGATATGTGAGGGAGGGGTGATATGTGAGGGGAGGGGTGATATGCTGAGGGGGTGATATGTGAGGGTGGGAGTGATATGTGAGGAGGGGTGATATGTGAGGGAGGGGTGATGTGTGAGGGTGATGTGTGTAGGAGGGTGATATGTGAGGAGGGTGATGCTTGAGGAGGGGTGATATGTGAGGGAGGGGTGATATATGAGGGAGAATTGTGTATGTGAGGGAAGAGGGTGGGGTGATATGTGAGGGAGGGTGATGATGTGAGGGGAGGGGTGATATGTGAGGGGGAGGGTGATATGTGAGGGGAGAGGGTGATATGTGAGGGAGGGTGATATGTGAGGGGGTATTATGTGAGGGAGGGTGATATGTGAGGGGTAGGGGTGATATGTGAGGGAAGGGTGGGGTGATATATGTGGGGAGGGGTGATATGTGAAGAAGGGGAGGGTGATGTGTGAGGGGAGGGTGATGTGTGAGGGAATTGTTGATATGTGAGGGAGGGTGATATGTGAGGGGAGGGGTGATATATGTGAGGGGAGGGTGATGTATGTGAGGGAGGGTGATATGTGAGGGGAGGGGTGGGGTGATATGTGAGGGGCGATGTATGACACTACTACAATGTCTACTATGACACCTCCACCTTGAACTCTCCACCAGAGCTCCCCCTCCAAGGCACCTCCGCTCATACTTCCGTGAGTGACCATTGTAGGGGGTGGGGTGACCAGTGAAGGAGGGGGAGGAGGGGCTCACCAGTGAAGGAGGGGGAGGCGGGGCTGACCAGTGAAGGAGGGGGAGGGCTGGTCAGTGATGAAGGGGGAGGGGCTGGTCAGTGAAGGAGGGGGAGGAGTTGGTCAGTGAAGGAGGGGGTGGGGGGAGGGGCTGACCAAACAGTGTGTAGGGGGCAGCCTGTTATTGTGTGGTTATAGTGTGTGTATACAGGCGCAGCGTCTTCACCTACTGATGACTCTTGCACCATAATAAACACACTCCTACAGTACACCTCCTGCACACCATAAAACTCCACCGTTGATGCCATACGCCCCATAGTAATAGTAGTAGCACAAGCAGTAAGATTATTATTATTATTATTATTATTATTATTATTATTATTATTATTATTATTATTATTATTATTATTATTATTATTATTATTATTATTATTATTATTATTATTATTATTATTATTATTATTATTATTATTATTATTATTATTATTATTAAACACTCTCAAGATAAAGGTTTTAGTGTCAGCATTACGTCACAGTCAAAGTGTCCAGAGTTTATCAGTAAATGTCAACTATTATCTTGATACCTCCATACTCTTATCTCCTCTTGAATGGCCCATTTTACTTTTTCTTAAACCAGCAATTGACCGAGATCAAACAATATATATAAAATAAAAATAAATCGTCCTAAGGAAAACGGAAATACAATACTTGACGCGTTATTAACAGTTAACAGTCAATACGGTATCAGTTCAGAAAAAACAGTCATGCTGTTCACCTTAAACACTTAACAATCATACAATACTTGGTAAAATAATGTGATACTAGTTTTCTGGGTCACTCTGTGTATAGGAAAGGAATGATACATTTTAATTTAAACAATAATATAACCTGACTTGACATATTTACTTGGCGTTGGCCGGAAGTTGAGGATCAGGCCATCCTATAGCACTATGACAGGTGAGGCTGAGGCCGCCCTAGCACCATGACAGGTGAGGCTGATAGTGTGTGTGTGTGCGCGCGTGGGAGTTGAGTTTGCTGTGACGTAATCCACTGATAACTGGCTATAGTTGACACTCCAGGAGAGGCGAGGTGGGGCGGAGAGGGAGGGAAGGGGGAGAGGAGAGAAAGAAAGAGGAGGGAAGGGAAAGAGAAGATAAGGAAGTGGTGAGAAGAAAGGAGGAAGGAAGGAAGGGTGAGAAGGAAGTAAGAGGAAGGAAAGAAGATGGAAGAAGTGAAGGAAGGAAGAAGGGAGAGTTATATACACCTTAAAGTAATTGTCTACAACAGACTTATGAGGTCATATCAGAGGTTATAATTCAACTGTGTGTGTGTGTGTGTGTGTGTGTGTGTGTGTGTGTGTGTGTGTGTGTGTGTGTGTATGTGTGTGTGTGTGTGTGTGTGTGTGTGTGTCCCACACCCAACAGAGGAGGTCTCAGTCTTAATTGTTCTAGGCCAGCTTATTATTATTCGACATTAACACAGCCTGTGACTGATGGGTCAAGGGGAGATGAGGGAGAGAGGTGACGGAGGGAGGTGAGGGGGGAGGGAGGTGAGGGGGAGGTAAGAGAGGGGGATGAGTTGGGACGAGGTGGTGTAGGAGGGAAGGAATTGAGAGGGAGGAGGGTGGTAGAAAGAGGTGGTGCGGGGAGAGAAGGGGAGGGAGAATGTGGGGAGAGAGTGGCTGGAATGAGAAACAGGGCGGGAGAGAGAGAGATGAGGAAGGATCATGGAAGAGGAGGAAGAGTAAAGGGAATTGGGGAAATGAAGGAGACAAGGATAGGATGGAGCGTTTGGAAAGGAAGAAGAGGGGAAGGGGAGGGGTGTGGGAAAAGGAGGAGGGATAGAGGAAGAGCAAAGAGGTAAATGGAGAGGCATTTGTGTGAGATGGTTGAGGAGCGAGGAAAGGACAAGAGGAATGTTGGAAGGGGAGGGGAGGGAGAAGAGGGGGGAGGGGAAGAGGTGTGAAGATGGGAAGGAAATAGATGGGAGGAGAAGAGAGGGGATGAGAAGAGAGCGGAGAAGAGAATGAATGGGGAAAAGGGGAGGGAAGCATGTGAAGGAGAGGTGGCTATAAACTGTTGTTCGAGTTTTTCACCGATCTGTCTGGGTCACGTCTTGATATTTGTCATCACCTTCCTCCTTAGTCATGTCTCTGTCTCTGTTGTTGGCCTTCTGGGAAAGTTGTGTCTCGTCTGTGTTTCCCGAAGAGTCACGGTTGAGGGAAGCGTCCAGGGACCTCCTCACCTCACTTGTTCGTCAGGACCATGTGTTGGTTATACCCCTTCCTTAATCAGATCCAGTTTGAGGTTGTCCACTGAAACTTCTTTATTCTTAGGTGTTTTCTCGTGTCTCCTGAACCAGCGTGTGTGTGTGAGGAAAGTTATTACTGTAATGGTGATAAACGTCACCAAAGTTCACGAGTTCTTCCAAATTGTTCTTCCATGGTCCAAACCTCGACTCATTTTCATTGTACAATTATTCATATATTGTTGTGGGTGTACCCGGGTTGTCATGGTAACTGTGTTGTAAAACTTCTAGAGATCTTGGATAGTCTACAAAGTTCACTGATTTTCATTTAATTTTAACATCTTCATTCTTTGGATGGAGACCTTGACACCTCTTGCCATTCTCTCAGTCAGTCATGTATGTGTTGGCTCATGACAAACACAGATTTTAATGAACTGTTTGATGTAAACTAATATATCAGCATCACTAAGTATGACCCTCCCCCCCACCCCTCCCCAGTCTCTACCAGCTGACGTCCCTGTCTGTCTGTGTGTCTGTCTGACTAATCTTAATACTCTGATTATTTTATTTTCTGTTTTGTCAGGTTCATTTTACTTTGTTTCATATTCCTGTAGTCTGGTTACTGAACACCTCCCCACCCTAACTTTTATTTCGTGTAACAGAATAATTTTAAATAATATCACTGGTGTTTGTACACACATGGTAGCTTAGAACGTGATTAAGTGACCTCCACTACTTCACAACATTAAGATGACCCACGCAGCTAAAATTGGCTCAAGTTTACATAGTTGACACGTCCTATGATAGAAGGCGTCGTGGTGTATGCAAACATCATTATACAATCTGTTGCAGTAATGATGTTCCTTTGGTTATGTCTATTAACTATATATGGTACAGACTCCGATATAAGGGTTAGCACCAGTAGTAGTTGTTTTTGGTGTTGTTCTAGTAATAGTTGTAGTACTATAGCTATAAGAGGAGGTTGAAGGCCAAATAAAATAGTAGTATCTGTTGTTGTAGTAGTAGTAGTAATAGTAACTTTAGTAATAGTAATATTATCATCATGACATGTGGGCGTGTATTCTCCCACGGATGAGTCTTACAACACGACGCCCTGAATCACGCCCACATATTTTTCATAATAATAAATGTGAGGGGCGGCGAGCCAGCTGGCGAGGGGACGACGCTGACCCACGTGTTGCCTGGCGACAGCTGGGAGGGGAGAGTGAGGGGAGCCATGGCCGACGTGCGGGGAGGGAGGCAGGCAGGCTGGTGTGAGGGGTGCGATGGGAGGGGAGGGGAGGGGAGGCTGAGGATGTAGGGAGGGGAGAGTGAGGCTAAGGGTGGCCGAGGGATGAAGGCAGTACAGGGAGGGCGAGGGATATGGAGGGAGGGTTAGGAGGATATGGACGAGGGGAAGGGTGAGGGAGAGTGAGGGGAAGGGTGAGGAGGGTGAGGGGAAGGGTGAGGAGGATATGAGCGAGCGAGGGGAAGTGTGAGGGAGAACGAAGGGAAGAGTGAAGGAGAGTGAGGGTATGGGTGAGGGGAGAATGAAGAAGTAGGGAGGGATAGTGAGGGTAAGAGTGAGGGGGAGAAGGAAGGAAGGATAGTGAAGGTATGGGTGAGGGGAGAATGAAGAAGTAGGGAGGGATGGTGAGGGTAAGAGTGAGGGAAGGATGGTGGATGACGTCAACTTGGGCAAAACTCTGGTAATAATAAACAATAAGAAGATAATTAACGAGAGATAATAATAACAATATACATTAGAGAATACTTATATATATGACGCCTGATCTTGTAGTCTAGTTCCGAGAGGCAATTCGACCAAGGACATCCAAACAAACCATCAGATCCTTATTTCCAGCTGAGATGTTGAACAAGTTGACTGATGAACTTAACCAATGAAGCCTCTTGTGGTTATGCGTTCAATACTCCTACTCTCTTAGTGTACAATTCCTTTTTTCAATCATCGATGTTTTCTCTTTAGTTTAAGATTATTTTTTTTTTGGTTGTACTTGAATTCTACCGCCGCTAGTCTCTTGTTATGTTGCTCCCTCTCCCTCCTCCTTCTCCTTCTGCTCCCTCTCCTCCTCTCCCCTCCGGCGCGGTGCAGACAAAAGCAGCAGCCTCATATATACCCACTCGAAGGCCGTCGTCGCCCCCAGGAAATAGATGGCATCAATGCACGAGTCAAACACACTTGAGAACTCTCCAGAATCCATAAAGTTGGCGGGATAATGGACGAGCGTTTGTCTGTGATAATGGTCGACAAGGCTACCACGATCCTCTCTGAGACCACCACTACTACCACGATCCTCTCTGAGACCACCACTACTACCACGATCTTCTCTGAGACCACCACTACTACCACGATCCTCTCTGAGACCACCACTACCCTCTCTGAGACCACCACTACTACCACGACCCTCTCTAAGACCACCACTACTACCACTACCCTCTCTGAGACCACCACTACCACCACGACCCTCTCTGAGACCACCACTACCACCATCCACAACACACACGACCCCTCTACCATCACCATCCCTAGACCACTTCTGTATCATCACCCGCGACACACCACCACCATAAGCAAGGTTTGAGGTGTAAAGTAATCAAGGAATATGTGTCTCACAGTGTGACGGCATGACGTAACGTGAGGTAGACCTTGAGTCTCACAGTGTGACGGCATGACGTAACATGAGGTAGACCTTGAGTCTCACAGTGTGACGGCATGACGTAACATGAGGTAGACCTTGAGTCTCACAGTGTGACGTTATGACGTAACTTGAGGTAGACCTTGAGTCTCACAGTGTGACGGCATGACGTAACATGAGGTAGACCTTGAGTCTCACAGTGTGACGGCATGACGTAACTTGAGGTAGACCTTGAGTCTCACAGTGTGACGGCATGACGTAACATGAGGTAGACCTTGAGTCTCACAGTGTGACGTTATGACGTAACTTGAGGTAGACCTTGAGTCTCACAGTGTGACGGCATGACGTAACTTGAGGTAGACCTTGAGTGTTAAGCGACTTCAATCTGAGACTATAACTTCACCCTGGGACTGTAACCTAGTGTGTGTGTGTGTGTGTGTGTGTGTGTGTGTGTGTGTGTGTGTGTGTGTGTGTGTGTTTCATGAGAAAGTTTTAGCCAAGTGGACATTTAGTTTAGGACACCGAGGGAAGCAGCGTCAGATAATTGCACATTCCAGACACTTTACAGCTACTCAGCCAATGGGAAATTGATATTTACGCTCCCTTTTCGGTAGCGGACTCTCATTGGCTGGAGCCTCGAATACATTTTAGGATTTTTGGAGAATTACAAATGCGAAACCCTACACAGCATTTTAACCAATAGAAATGCACTATTTACACACCATTTTCAGTTGAAACATTTCTATTGGTTGCTGGTGTCGTCCATTAGCGAGCTTCCGGAGTGCGCCAAGTGGTTCCAGCTCGCTCACGTCGACAGGTCCCGGGAATATAACTTTTTCACTTTTTTTTAAATATCGGAAATTGTATCTTAGTTCAAAACTTTGTGACGCCGTTTGTGTCAAGATATGGCTGGCATAACTTCCCAGCAACACGTTAAACCAGTCAGAGTGCACAAAATTTTACATGCACCTATCAGTGAGCAGCACAATATGTTACTGACCAATCAGTGAGCAGTACAATTTGACACTGACCAATCAGTGAGTCAATTTTTTTTACATGAACCAATCAGTGAGCAACACAATATTACACTGACCAATCAGTGAGCAACAAAATTCTACATGACCCAATCAGTGAGCAGTACAATATTACACGGACCAATCAGCAAGAAACACAATATTACACTGACCAATCAGCAAGTGAGCAACCATATATTTCACGGCCAATCAATGAACAAAACAATATTTCACGGACCAATAGGCAGCCATATGTTATCATACTGAGGAAATATCAACAGAGCATGACGCAGTTAGGTAACACACAATATAGCGCAGAACAATACGGAACAACGTGGAACACTACGGAACAGCACAGAACAACACGGAACAACACGGAATAATGCAAAACATTACGGAATAACACGAAACAATGCGGAACAATACGGAACACGAAACACTGCGAAACACTATGGAACAATGCAGAACACTACGGAACACGAAGCAATGCGAAACATTACGGAATAACACGAAACAATGCGGAACAATACGGAACACTACGGTGCTGCTACAGTGTGAGTAATATCAACAGAACGGACCAATAATAGCAACATGAGAAGTACCTTTAGAGTGTATTGGTTTTAACTTCTTTTAAGTGTTTATCATCTCTCTCACTCTCTCTCTCTCTCTCTCTCTCTCTCTCTCTCTCTCTCTGCAGTACATTTAACATATATTATACAGAAAGGTCAAGCTTGTGGTGAACTAAGAGACCATCGGTGATACATAACTTTTATTACAATACGAAGATAAAAAGAAAAGACTCCGGTAAACTATATTAAGATCATAACAAATGGACTACAAGTGTCAACACCAATAGAATATAAACCTTACGTCACATTCACATAAATACCAAAATGGCATCGTGGTATTATTGGGGTATTTAATCATCAGGTGCAATAAGGTGAGGGACCTATAATTATAATATACAATTTTAGGCCTCTTGTGTATCTTGGAGTCACACACACACACCCACACACACACACACACACACACACACACACACACACACACACACATGTATTCCCGGGTGGTGTTAGAAAGATATATCGTCGCCTAGACACACTCATATATCACAAGCTACGACAGAAAAATTTTAGACTGAAAAGGAAAATATAGTTTTACCATTTTTACTGCCTAAGTTTAACCCATTCATTTATTATTATTTCTTTTCAGTTTATAGTAACTAGAGGAGTGCGTGTGTGTTTCTTTCCTTCACTCACTCACCCAAACGAGCCTCACTTAACCAACTCAATAATCTCTATTACATAATAATCAAAGTTCCATCCTTATGTCTGAGGGTTGGAGACCACGGTCCTCCACCCTAAACGATTCCTGACTTTTTACCAAACCTCACATAATATTTTGCATCCCTATTACTAAGAAACTACTAAGTATTTTTAACCTTCTAAGGATATTTTTTCCTTATCTATAGACGAAAACCTGCCCCTAGTGCGCCATTAACCCGCTTCCTGCCCTCCAGTAAACAGAGGTGCAACATATAACCTGCTGTGTTTCCCTGCCCAGGTTGTTCTCGGTGAAGTGTGCCGGATGTGGTGATCGCCTGCTGCCACACGAGCTGGTCATGCGTGCCCAGTCGCTAGTGTTCCACCTCCACTGTTTCGCGTGTGTGGTGTGCTGTCAGGTGTTGCAGAAGGGGGACCAGTACGTGTTGCGAGGTCACCAGCTCTTCTGCAGGGCCGACTACGAGAAGGAGATGTTCCTCCTCCAGCAACACGGGCCGCAGAGTGAGTGGCTGAGTTAGTATTACCTGGTAGTTTTGTTCACTATCACACACACACACACACACACACACACAGGTCCTAACACCAAGGCCCGCCATCTTGCGACAATCCCCCCTATAAAGATGGTGGGACAACTTACGTCTTAGAATAAAATTAATGACATGATAACTGATTCATCTCAGTTGCTGCTTTACTATGTTGATAGATCTTCACTGTTCTCGTCAGTAACTTACTGCATTGCGTCTTGTTGACAAAGATGGATTGTGTAGGTTGTTCAGAGTGCAAAGTTGACCAACACAACAAACTATTGTGTCTCAAACGCACATAAAAACACAACTAACTTCCAACACGGGAACAATTGTTTGTCCTTATTGTTACAAACTCATGAACATTACTGTAGTGCAGCTGTGGTAAAACTGACTACCTTTCTTAGACGTTCTTCACTATCTTAACAGCACCAAACTTTACCTGACTCTACAACAGTTGGTAACATAGCAGTCATAAATATTTGCCAGTAATCATCGCACAATAAAACTCTTGAGATCTGACACATACTCGTAAACACCAACACATCTTTCATAAGTTACGAGCTCAGTAAGTGGACTCATCATCAACAAGCAAATGTTTTACTTTGGATTGCATTAAGTAACATTACAGGAGACACCTTAATCAACTCATAACATTGGTACGGGTGTGTGTAACCAGTTTTCCTGTCAGTGTATCATCAGCCACTCTTGTCTCTGGCCCCTACAGGTCCATTAGGCGACGACTTCATAGTGGATGATGGATCGAGGCCTCGGGACGGTAGACGGGGCCCCAAGAGACCTAGAACTATCTTGACGTCGGCGCAGAGGAAACAGTTCATGGCCTCCTTCAGCGTGTCGCCCAAGCCTTGTAGGAAGGTAAGGAGTCTGGTCTTGTACTGAGGCTCCATCTGTTTATATCTTATGCTGGTTTAAGTGTTAACACTTTTCTTGTCTCTCTATTAACACTTTTCCTGGGACTGTTAACTGTTAATACTACTACTACTACTACTACGACTACTACTACGACTACTACTACTACTACGACTACTACTACGACTACTACTACTAAAACCAATACACCAACATTGCTAATTCCATTACTAAAGACCTCTTGTCACTATCATCTGCTTTTCTAAACGACGAAGATGACAGTCATTAACTACCAGGCCACAGTCTCCAGCCACCACCAGTACGCCCACTACACGTGTTTACCCTGTACGCCAGTCCACACAGAGAAACGATTCAGCCCACCGATCTTGAACGATATTTATAGGGTGTTGAATTTAGCATTGGATTCCGTGTGGGGCCGTGTGAGGCCGTCACGCTGCGAGAATAACTTCACTAAAACACAAGTTATGACTACAGAGCGGAAGATGAGCCTGACACACTCAAGTACAGAAGCTGTCAGTCAAATAGAATGACTTTGTTGATTTCATGTCAAAACAAGTTAGGTAAGAATAAATGGTTCAAGACTTAAGGGGAAGATATTGTTGTTTGTTGAGAGATGGTCAAGATGACGAGACACTTTATCACATTCTTCGCCATCCTGACGGTGGGGAGCAGTAACATGGTTCCTCAAAGTGTGTACCGTCTCTTGTGGTACAGGTTGGGGGAGGGGATAAAACGGTACAATGCACAGCAACAGTGAGGCAGTTATACTGTACATGGACAATGGTGATCTCTTGGTGGTGGTGGTGGCGTGAGGGGCAGTACTACGGGCAGGTCATGGGTTATCAGCTGTTTTGACTGGCACTCACCGCTCCCTGGTAAGCACTGGTGCCTCTAGCTTTGAGGAGGCACTGTCTTGGGGCACCAACCCTGGCTAATCTTTGACCTTTCTTTATTAAGCCTTCAAAACGTCTCTGCGGAAGACGGAAAGGATATGTTCTGTACTTCTTTGAATGAGAGTTTGATGAGAGCGGATGTTGCATAATAGTTTTGTGAATCATTTGGTGAGATCATTTGCGCACTGATGGCCTGCCCGCCACCTCCAGTATCTGTCAAAAGTCAGGCCCAGAAACTGAAGCTCCTTCTAACTTTATTAATACTTTACTTTATTTTTTTCAGTTTCTTACGCTATTTGTATTTTTATGTAGTTTTTCTTCTCAAAATTTCCCGATAACATAAACAAAGTCTTTGTTCTCTCTCTCTCTCTCTCTCTCTCTCTCTCTCTCTCTCTCTCTCTCTCTCTCTCTCTCTTGCTAGCCAGATATTTTTGTTCTCCTCTCACATGACCTTTTAACATTCACTCTCCCTCAGCCTCGGGATAACCTCTAACCTTTACCTTATTGACTTGATCGAACTTTGATTTCTTAGAAGCCACTATTCGTGGCGGCACCTCCTTGACAGGCGGCTCCTTCACTTAACCTGGAGACAGACCGCTTCAGGTAACCCCCCTCCTTCCTCAGGTATCCCTCATCCCCCACCTTGCCTCGCCCCTCCTCCCCCACATGACACAGTGTCCTACTGAGTGCCGACAGCCAGTGGGGTGGGGAGAGCAGGAACCCGAAGGAGTCGGGGTTGGGGGTGGGTGGAAGTCCCAAGAGAGTGCTCAAGGAGGGAGGAACAGCATTTGTGCATTATGGCTCCTGTACTTGTGGGGGGGGGGGGGATGTGTGCTTGTGTGTGTGTGTGTGTGTTTATGCATGGTCATATGCACGTGAGCATAGTTGGTGTGTGTATGTATGTATGTACGTATGTATGTATGCGAGTTGTGTACATGAATATAAATTAAATTTGTTGGCTAGTTAGTTATGAAATCAGTTAGTTAAGCAGTCAGTCAGTCATTCAGTCAGATAGTTAATTGGTTAGTTAGTTAGTCAGTCAGTTGGTTAGTTAGTTAGATAGTTAGTTAATTAGCGAATGAGTGAATAAAGTGAGTCAGACTGTTAGTTCACCTCGGTACTTGGGGGTCACTTGTTGTCAGATCGCTCTTATACCCAGTGATTGGCAGAAACAGGTGTGCTTGAAAGACGTGTGAGGTGGTCTGTGTGTGAGTGTAGCGGCTGTCGGCGGGAGGACCGAGGTGGTTGGTTTAAAGAATCGTGGGGGAGCGTATACGTGAGTGTTTGTGTTTGTTTATGGGTGTTTGTGTGGGCGGCAGTAAAGAAGATAAGCGTGTGTGTGTTTCTTTGAGAACGATGAGTGCGAACCCAATGAATAGTGTGTATATTAGGTTGTCTTTTGTTGGTCTTGTAAGGGGAGACACAACGGGTTCATGCAGTTCTCAGCTACTTTTACTTTCCGCCATTTCATCCTTAGTTCTAAATCTTTATGGGCGCCATTAAGTGTGATCTTGTGGTGGTATTATCGCAGTGGGGAATTCCTTTTTTATTATTCAGCTCTTGTTAGATGAGCAGTACGGTACAGAGAAATAAGAGAATGGGATATTGTGAATAAGTTTAGGGCTGGCGAGTCTCTCTGTCAGCACAAGACCCATCACTCCGAGCTTCCGTGTAGCCCGTCGAAATGGCCCTTGTCTGTCCGTCTGTCCAAACACAACAACAACCATTTCATCTCGGATGTAACTCCTGTCCAAACTGACCTGCCCACGTGACGGCACACCGCTCGCACTGTTGACAGATTTATGGCCGCTGATTGGCTGACAGAGCGAGTGACGTGCAGTACTGCCAATCAGTTATCTTACTAAATACACTAAAAAACAATTCTAAAAGACGACTCCATAGACCATGAAACAGTAGAACAAAAGTATGATAATTTAGAACTTACATTTCATCTAAATTAACAATAAATACACGAGTTTGATGCCTAAAGGTGGTAAAGTTGTTATTAATATCCATGATAAACCTTCACCCTAGCAACAGTGATGGCGCGTTGACAGCTGATGGCCGATGGATATTGGTTCATGCTAGGTCGATCCTGCTGGTCAATTTCGAGCTGACTGACGAAATGTTGATGAAATGAAGAGAAATGTATCAAGGTAATTTGGAACTGGCAATAATTTCATATAAACACAAAATGTAATTTTCCACATTATCAGAAATACTCGTTCAGGCGTTAACAATATATTTTTTAGTTACGTTGAAAATAAAAGATAAATAAGTGGTCAGCTGTCAGCTATTCTTAGCTCGGCCGCTGCTTTATCTTAGCACTTGCAGGGGGGTTGGTCCAGGTTCCGGGTGAGAACACTCCACTCACTAGGACAACGATGGCCTGTTTATTCTGGCCATCACCACCCTGCCACCACCTACCCTGCCACCACCTACCTTGCCACCACCTACCCTGCCACCGCCTACCCTGCCACCACCTACCCTGCCACCCACCACCCGTTCCACCATACACGGATAATAACATAGATAATTAAAAAGTTCATATATATAATAGTTTGTGTATAATAATGTCTCTTAAAGTCATTAGGAGTTTGGGGGACCTGAAGCCTTATTATATAACAATTAGTATAACAGACTGTACAGATAATATATACACACAGATGCACGCGCACACACACACAGATGCACGCGCACACACACACACAGATGCACGCGTACACACACACAGATGCACGCACACACACACACAGATGCACGCGCACACACACACGCACACATACACATACAACTTGCACCACTTCCTCCACCATCCTGCCACCTACTCCAGCGCCATCACTCGATGACTTGTTCCACCAACACACCACTGCTAAGTTCTCCACCACTAACTCAATCACCCTTATCTTCTTCACCAATTCGCCTCCAACTATGACCCTCCACCACTTGCTCTCCACCAATACTGGGCCTCTTGTGTGGATATTCGTAAACTTGGTTCAGATACTGAAGCACTTTGTGTGTTGATGCAGCATTTGGTGTGGTGGTGCAGCACTTGGTGTGGTGGTGCAGCACTTGGTGTGGTGATGCAGCACTTGGTGTGGTGGTGCAGCACTTGGTGAGGGAGGCGGGGAGAGCTAAGTGGCTGGGCGGTGTTATCGTCTTCGGGCTGCCTCACGTACGTGTTTGTTGACTCAGTCTCCAGGTACTTAGTGGCCGGGGTATTTATGGTGTGTGTGTGTTTGTGTGTGTGTGTGTATCCCCCGGGTTTGACGGCTCGTATAGGACAGTGTGGATACATTACACAACATACTGTACAATGCAGTTCGGTATACAGTACATAGCGACAATCTGGCCAGCACTGCACTCAACAGTCTTTGCTTCCCAACTGTAAATTTGAACGCCTATTTCCAGCTGAGTTCACAGGGAATGTCCTGGGGCTGCGAACCAGTGAACCTTAGGACAGGAAGCGAGTGTAATATCCACTCGGCCGTCGCACCCCTTCATATTAGAAAGTTTTGCAATGATTTTTTTTTAATGTCAGTCCATCGTAGTGTGATCTTTAAGACGAAAGTTTGTTTTGCACCATCCAAGTGTATTTACTGCTACGCACACACACACACACACACACACACACACACACACACACACACAAAATCATAGTCAACTATCGTGCAGCAGACGGCCACACAACACCACCAGCCTCTGATACCATCTAGAAATATGAGAATGAGTCTTTACTGTCTGGCTCAACAACGACCTGACTATCACCGCCCTCCTGGAGTCGAAATTGACTCTCCTGCAAATAAATACTTTATCGTAACCTTAGTTAAAAGAGAACAAAAATAGTGACTCCGTAAGAATAATAACACTAGATTCCTAAGCCCCCTGCCCCCTCCGATGGTCTCAAAATCTCAAAGTATAAAATCACGTTAAAATATATATATATATATATATATATATATATATATATATATATATATATATATATATATATATATATATATATATATATATATATATATATATATATATATATATACTGTATAGTGACTTTATAATTGATAATATATTCAGGTCATAAAAGAATGTCTA